AAATTGCTGAGTGGCTTCTTCCAGCTTGCCTTTCCTCAGGACAGGATGATCTGTGGGGTCACTCCTGACTCTTCAGGAAAGCCAAAACAGTGCTGCAGTCTGAGCTGCTTAGCTCAGAGGTCAGAGCAGGGCAGTGAGAGTTGAGAGTCCTGTAACTCTTTCAAGGCAAGTCACTTAAGCACCCTCCAGTCACTGTTAAAGCCTGAAATGCAACCTAAGATTTTTCTTAGTGTGTATATAAAGTGTATATATTGGATAAAGTGTATGCTGGATCTTGGATGCAAATGCCTCAATAAATGCACATTCTGATTATCCACCCATACTCTGATTCCCAAGGCACAAACCCAGCTCCAGAGCCACCCTTCTGGCTGCCTCCCATTGTTAAAAGTTACTCATGAAGTTGTGGGAATTTTCTGCACCCACTGCTGCTCTTTCCTGGAGTTGATATTTGGCATTGGAAGCAGGAAGGAGCTGTGCCTCTGCTCAACTGGATCAAAAGGCCAAGCCCCCCCTAGTTTTAAATACTAATTTTGTATTGCTCACTTTCAGAGTGGTTTCCAAGAATTAAAATTTTCCTCTTCTACAAACAGACAAATGTTATCACCACATTTTGCAGGAAGAAGATTGGTGTCTTGTCCAAAATTGAAGACTCTTTGACTTTTAGGTCAGATGGAGGGTGAGAACTCAGGCACTTTTGGCACCAAGAATGAGCTCTTCTCCATCCCCATAGATTTTCAGTACAAGTTAGCCTTGCTAAAAGGCAGGAACTCAGTTTTTTCATCTTTTGCCTTGTGATATGAGTAGGTTGCAAATTATCTTAAAGGAAGTGTGTCTGTTCTCTTCTTGGTGCAGCTGAGATGCAGCTCTACAGGTATCCACATGTGGTCACTGGACCTGGTGAAAGGAGATGCCTTTACTAGAGAAAACAATAGAATATATGAATATTTGAGAGCAGCCCTCTAGAATTACAGTTTTTGTAAATTACGAGTTTTTTTCTATGTTTGGGTGACAAAAAGAGAAACTGACGAGAAGAGACTGAATCAGAATGTGAAGATCAGTTGTATCTACAGTTCAAAATCCTACAGGGCATGACTGATATTATCAGTTTCCTCCTACTGGGGGTAACTGCTCATTTCTCAAGGAAAAAATCACAATAGCAAAGCTGAGCATGATCTAGAGAGCTGGAAAGCACCTCTTGGATTCTGTCTGCTCTCCTTGGTGAGCAGCAAAGAGCTCCAGCAGAAAGGTGCTTCCAGGATCTGTCACTTGTTTAGAGGACATTGTGGGCTGCTTGGCAGCCTTTGAGACTGCAGTGCATGCCTGACTTGCTTGGGGTTTGGGCACTGCACTCCTAGGGCTGTGTGTTGGAAGAATGCCCCTAGGGAATCAGAGCCACTTAGAATGGTGTCTTTTGTGAAATGCTTATATCCTCAAAGAAATAATCCTTGCCCAAAATGAAGGTCTTGGTCAAGGGAACTTGTTAAGAAAGCTAAACTTGATTGCATCATCTCTATTTATAGATGGCATTTGGAAAGTCTGTGTAATGATATGCATTGTGAGGGGCTGCACCATATTGTTCTGTGTGAAGAAAACTTCAATTAAAAGCATTTTGCTTAACAGTCTTTTTGAGGAAGGTTGCAAGTTTCCTAATTATTCAACTCTGTCCAGTAATACTAGTTTTAAAGTCTGTGGAACTATTGTGCCTTCAAGAGAACATTCTTCTAGTAGAAGTAAGTTTTTTGGGGAAGAACCATTTTATTATCTACTGATCAGCTTTTGGACTTGTTTTTCTCCTTCATTCTGTTACTTTCCAGCATCCTTTAGAGAATGTATGCTGAAACCTTTGAGACAAAGCTCTGTTTCTCCTTATTGTGGAATAAGTCCTCTAGATTCTTTCTGAATTACTCAAATTTAGAGTGTAATACAGTGAAACCAGAATCTATTTCTTAACTGAGGTAACCCAAGTCTTTGAGGGCAAAGTCCTGCAGAAGGCCTGGGCTCTGCAGCCCCAGTTTAGCACAGTGGAAGTGATTGGGAGTTTTGTAACTGAATTTGGGGGTTTCAATATGAGGCCTTAATTGCAGTTACCTTACTGGGAACCTGGGGTCTAAACGAATGGCTCATGCTTCTTAAGAAGAAATGTTTTACAACTTCTTCAGGTTATGCAAACCATAATTTTCCCCTTTTCCTCGTTCCCTGATGAATCACCAAACCTTTTCCTGACAGTGGAAATAGCTGAAAAGATATTTTTTAGATTATAAGGAGATGAAGGACTTTGTCTATGGTATTTTCTGTGCAGTGTGTCAAAGGCAGAGAGAGGTGTCTGATTATCTGATTGTCAGCATGTTCTTCACCTCCGCTGTCCAATTTTACTGACCTTATCCCTGTCATTTTATATTTTATTCTTGCTATTGCCAGTACAGATCAGAGTCTAATAAGCAAGTTGCAACATGCTAAACCATTCCACAGGGCCTCTTCTGTCCCTATCCTGTAGCTGAATCCTGACAACATGGATTTAGCCAACATGCACCTTCTGAGGCTGTAGTGGAGGCGGTAGTCCTTTGACATAAAATACTGGAAAATACATATCACTGGGTAATGCCTGTTTCCTTGAGAGAAAGGTCAGTGCAGCTCTGGGATGGGTCTGCATGATATGAAAGAATTAGGAGAACATGATCTCAAATCTAAGTTAAGGCAGTGTTATGAATAATATAAAAATTTGGCTTTGTGGTATCAACCTGAAGAAACTGAGATGAGACAGGCTGAAATAATGAAGGATCAGGGTGCCCCACGAAGCCTGAGGAGGCTGATTTAGCTTTCATCTTCAGGCACTTTAAGGGTATGTTGGCCAAGGTAATGCCAGGTAATCCACTACAACAGCAGCAACAGCCAGCCAAAACCACTTATCATCTGTCACCTGCTTTTGATCTTCTCAGATCTCTTAAGACACCTGTCTGCAGCTATATAGAATGGCAGGAAATTCAACTTCTAGGATGCAAAGAGCATATTCTGGCATGCATCCTTTCTTGTCCTGCTTTAGGCAGTTGTTGCAGGAGTGTTTGCCATCATCTTTGGCATGAGACCTCTTCTACAGGCATGTTTATCTTTCAAAACAGTAAAGAAATAAAAGTCACCAAGCAGTGTAACTTCTGTGACAAACAGACTTGCTTGTTCTCAGGCCTCTGAAAAAAGAGATCAGTTCCCTTTTGTGATAATTTGATTATTGTATTTTTCTCACTTTTTTTTGGTGATATTTTTGAGCTTTGATTGTGAAGTATCTGTTGTAGGAAACTGGGATGAAATCTGATAATTTGGTTTGAGGCTGCATTTGAAAGAAAAGAAAATATTTCCTGTGTCAAAGTAAATTTTTCAGAAACCACTCCAGTGCTCTAGATTTTTTGGATTAACACACAGAAATTGGAACTTCTGCTGTAGGTATTGGCTGGCTGTTGGGAAGAAAACAATATAGCAGCAGAGATCGTCTGAATCTCTTCTCCCTTTGCACTAGTACAGACATTTGCTCCCCTGATTTCTTTTGGGCAAGCAGTTCTTTTATTTGGATCTTGCCTGAGTACAGGTCAGCTGATAAAAAACAGCTTATCCACAGTCTTCACACAGTAGAAACTTAATAGCATATGCAAGACATTACTTATGGGTCCTTGCTCTTTTTCCTGTACTGTCTGAAACAGAGGGGAGTTAACATTCAAGGAGTTGTGATTACTTCTCCTATGATTTGTATGTATGGATTTTGGCAGGGTGGTAAACCCCCTTTTTTGACACAGTTTTGGCTTAATTTCCTTACTGCTGGCTCGTCACTGATGAGCCAAATGATTAATGTGTTATTTAATGTCCTTGTGTCTTTTTGTTCTTAAAAGTCCTTGCAACAATGTACAGAACCCCAGTAACAATAGCTGATTTTGCAAACCATGGCTAGAATTTGTTCCAAGGGTTTTTTCCAGGGTAACACTGAGATCTTTCTATGTAGTTTATACTCTTCAACACATAGTGTGAGCAGATTATTGTGTTTTCTCAGTGTGTAATATTCTTTTGATAAGAAATTACTTCTGTTTGATAAGGGGAATTTAATCTGTGGGCCACAGCACAGATCCAAGATGAACCAGGTCTACTCATCTGCAGGTGGTAGATGCTTTCAAGGCAGAGGTGTGCTATGAGAATCTCAGCTGGTTTTGAGTTCAGGAAACTTGGAAAAGCAGGAGGTCAAACAGAGGTGAGAAAACTTGTTTTGGATGTGCCAAGTGTCCTGCTCATGGCCAGTTAAAGGCTGCCACCTCCCACCCCTGACTCTGTGGCCAAATGGTCACTGGTGTCTCAATGATGCTTTGGAGGGGTCTTGCAGTATGGAGACCTGCAGCCAGAAGAAAGTTGGCAAATAACTCCAGTTTCTCCAAGGCCTTGATTTTTTATATCTTTCTGTTTCCAGGTGCCAGTCAGCCAGTCCGCCACCCCTGCTGTCCCCTCAAAGGAGCCCTGCCTACCCCCTCAGTGACAGTGAGGACTCCTCCCGCTCTGCTGGGCTCTCCAGAGTCTCCAGCTCCAGGCTGTGCCTCAAGGACTGGAACAGCCGCACATCTACGCTGCGCAGCGCCTCCACGAGCCCCTCGGACACCGACTCGCTGAGCCGTCCCCTCAAAGCCATCAGCGTGGGTGCTCTGGATAAAAGGCTGTCCGTGTTCAAGGCTGACCAGAAGGAGAGTCCAAATGAGGGCCAAGATGGGGAAGCAGTAGGGAGCCATCCGCTCATCCGGAGCACTCTGTCCTTGGGCACTGCCACCAAACTGAGGACCCTCTCCAGCAGCAGGGTGAGCGTCCGCTCGCAGACACTGGACATCAGGCAGAAGATCACAGAATGGGAGTGCCGCCGGGAGCTGTCCCCCAGGGCCAGCGTGTGCATGGACAAGAGGGATGCTGGGGAGAGGTCAGGCAGTGAGAGCTGCCCCAGTGTGCTGACCTCTCCCTGCAGCGACAAGACATTTGATTTCAAAGGGTTCAGAAGAATGAGCCGAACATTTTCCGAGTGCTCTTACCCGGAAACGGAGGAGGAGGAACTGCTGGACAGGGATTCCTGCCATCGGTTTGAGAAGAGACTGGGCAGGAGTGAACCTCCTTCTGCCACTTTCCTTAAGAGCCATGTGAGGAAAGAGTCCTCTGCTGTGCTCAACAGAATCCAGAAGATTGAGCAGGCACTGAAGGAGCAGTCAGGCAGAGGCCTCCCCCAGTTACCAAGCAGCTGCTACAGTGTTGACAAAGGGAGGAAAAAGTCTGGGGCTCTGCCTACTGTGGAGGGACTGAATGAAACCCCCAGCGATAGCAAAGGCGGGGGTGTTATTTTGGGGAGTGAACCAGAAAGCCCTCCTGAGGCTGAGAAAAGCAGTAAAACAAAACAGGGCGTTACTGCGAGCTCAGTGGGCCCCAGAGTGCTCCTGGAAAGCGCGCCCAACAGCGCCGTGAACCCTGTCCCCAAGCCCAAACGCACCTTTGAGTACGAGGCAGACAAGTCCCACAAGAGCAAACCAAGCAATGGCCTACCTCCATCTCCCACAGCTGCTGCTCCTCCTCCCCTCCCGTCCACGCCCGCGCCCCCCGTGACCAGAAGGCAGAAGAAGGAGTCGCGCTTTCACCGAAAATCCCAGAACAGGTAAAAGCCAAGGGAAATGTGTTGTGTTTGCAGGGAATGCCTCAACGAAGGCAGGAATGATGCATCTGACTCCATGTTCTCAGAAGGCTAATTTATTACTTTATAATAGTATATTATATTAAAGAATACTATACTATACTAACTAAAGAATACAGAAAAGGATACTTACTGAATGCCAAAAAGCTAATAATGAAAACTCGTGACTCTTTCCAGAGTCAGCTTGGCCCTGATTGGCCAGTGAGTCAAAACAACTCACACCAGAATCCAATGAAACAATCATTGTGGGTAAACAATCTCCAAACACATTCCACATGAACAAAACAGAGGAGAAGCAAATGAGATAAGAATTTTCTTTTTTCTCTGAGGCTTCTCAGCTTCCCAGGAGAAAAATCCTGGGCGAAGGGATTTTTTTCAGAGAATGTGAATGCCACAGAAATGTACTCGGTTCTCCAAATGAATAAATAAATGGGCTATATTTTTGCAGTAGAAATATTCTAAATTCTCCCTCTAATGCAGTGCTTTTGATGTAAGGAAATCTAGGAACTGCATGTAAGACAAGTGGGGTTTTTTCTGCTGGTCTGTGCTGATGGAATGCACTGGTGCAATACCTTTGAATGCCTTCAGTTTTGGAGTTCTAAAATCTGCATCCCTCGATCCCCCAAAAAGCTCTAGGTTAGGTGTGCTAAAGGTTATCTAGTTAATTCTGGCACAAATGCCCTTGTTGGCGATTTTTAATGGACCATAATTTCATTATTGTCTGGTATGGGACTGTAGCTGCTCCCTCACAGCTTTTTCTTCCTGTAAAATGTACCTGCAGAGGTTTTCTATTTCCAAAGTTCATTACTATAGTAGTTGTGTCAGTTTTATGCAATGTGGGTGATTTTATTTAATTCAGTCCTTAGGAATATTATCCTAAATTATTATCAAAAAACTGTAGAGGATTAATGCTGAGAGAACTGTTTCATCACGGAAATTCCTCTATGTTTTCCTGAGTTAATGATGGAGAGAGTGTATGGCTACATTTCCCCAGCAATTTGTGGAGCTTGGCTTATTTTAATCACATGATTCCTCTTGAGTTTTAGACATGGTAAACCTCATTCTGCTCATTGCTTGGAAAATTGTAAGCACAGTTGTTGCTGAGCATTCAAATTGCAGCATTTTTAACGAGTTCACCTGCCTGTGCTTGTGTATGATGGACACCCTCCCTTGATATTTAGTAATGAGATTTGCAAGGAACTGCTAAGCAGCATCTCAGAAGCACACTATCCCTTCAGATTCTGCTGCTTGATGTTGGCTCAATTATTACAAGTTTTTAGCACAACCTCACCTGAATTATACTGGGACAAGAAGAGAAGAGGAGCCCTCAGCTTCTGTCCTTTTCTCTCAGGGGACACCTGCTCCTGAAAGATCAAACAGCTCTGCTGAGGCAGGTTGTTTCTTCCAGAAAGGCATGGGGGGAAGTGCAAAGTCAAGCTCTGATCAGCAGCGCTTATCTTTTAGTCCTGGCAATAATCTCAGAGGAAGTAAATCTAGTTTTTAAGGAAATGCCTTCAGAAATTTGTGAAGTAAAGCTGCCCTCAGTTTCTTCAGCACAGCATTTACAATGTGCAGAAGACAAACAACAAATTTTAAATGTTCTGGTATACATGCTAACCTTTATCATCAGAAAATGGGCAAGTCATCTAAGAACCACAGTATATTTTCACAGTGAGTTTTTGAGATGAAGTTTTGAAGCTCCTTTCCAGAAGAGGTATAATTCTGCTTGCACCTCCTTTTCTGCAGATTGAGTCTCCTGTCAGAGCAGAGTTAGACAACAGCACAGTTCAGCCAAGGAGCTTCAGGCCTGGGTTAGGGCTAGGGAGAACAAGTCTTTTAAAAAGCATTATTTATCAATTTAAGTTATAGAATATAAATTGTAGGATTAACAGGGTTGTCATGTGTATCTGATAATTCTTGCAAATCAGTTTGACATTTTACTGGGTAGGTATCCATTCATTTGTAACAGCTTTACCCACTGTACTTTAATGATTTCTCTGGACCCATCTCTTGTTAATCATGATCTAAATAAGTTCAAATCAACCTCCTAAAAATCTCAGGTTTGCTGGCTGACTTCAACGCTGAGTGGAAATCCTTTATAAAAATTTTAATTTTATTGTCTTTACTACTGTTCTTCCTTCAGCTACAGAAAAGATGTACGAGATTTACAAAGCACCAAAGACCATACAAGTCATTTAAGAATGACAGTATTTGGTTGATAGTAATTACTGAAATCTCAGTACCTAAGCTGTTCTTATTTTGAGAACAGACATAACTCATTGTAGCTGTGTGTTTCAGACTGAACATACACATGGTTTGCACTCCCTGCAATGCCATGAGAATGGACTGAGGGTATTTATTTTCCAAATACTTGGGTTGAAAGCACTGCTTTTAATTTTGGTGGCTAATTCAACACTCTAGTAATAGGGAGGAAGTCTCTCATGTTTGCCTGCTAGCAGAAAGCCAGGCTGGATCTGGAGAACCTGGTGCCAAGAGTAGCTTTAACATTTCAGAGTGGTGTGAGCTGGGTGTTCCCCCACAGCTGGAAATGCTCTGGCACACACACAGTGCAGCAGAGGAGTGTCACAGGATAGACTTGGGACACATGGACCACAGCTGAGTGCTGGTCCACAAAGCCATTCCTGTCATCCTACACAGTGTCACCACATCATAGGGGTGCCTTGAAATCTATAGGAGCTGGGTATTTAACTACTTTAGAAAGTCTCATTTCATCCACAGCTGTGCCTTTAGTGTGTCAGCATCCTTTGTACTGTGAATAGCTGTGGAGGAGCAGGTGTCTGGATCTGACTTGCACAGATTGTTTCTGCCACAATCCTGATGTGAATAACTTTGATCTGGATATTCTGAAGATTAGAGAAAGGAGAGAGAGCAGGCTCTTAAGCCTGATCCCAGCTGTAAGCCTGCTCCAGCAGACACACAGGAAATTCTCTTCTCAAGTGCAGTGTTCTGTGCCACAGTCACAGTGTTACCTGTAGGGATGCTCGAGCCAATTCACAGGCCCAAGTGTCTCATGAGGCTCTGTCACTGCCACCTGGACATCCTGTAACATATGCTGCACTCCAGATGGGAAAAAGAAAAACAAGGGGGGTTGATGGCAGGGTGATTTATTGTTAATCTAGTTGGGGCTCAGTGAGTGGAGTGTGAGCACCAGCACAGTCCACACAAGCCTTGCAGTACTGTGGGATTATTTATGCCCTGACCTGAGCATGTTTTTCTCACTGCTTCATCCTCAGCAGTAAATCCATCCCATGAATGCCAGCCCCTGTGCTGCTGCCACTGCAAATCATGGGCCTCCCTCCCTGAGTGTAGTTTCTGCCCCAGAGAACAAGGCCTGGGTGAGCTGGAGATTGGGAAGACCTTGGGAGAAAAGCCCAAGAATGCTCTAGAACTGCTCAGCAGCTTTGGGGCAGGTGTGGGTGGGAGACAAATTGTGTGGGTTCATCTGACCCAGCTGGTCCTCACCTTCCTGCCAGGAAGGCCCAACCTTCAGCCCCTGAGCCATCAGCCAAGCTGCTCATGCACCCCAGAGAGCACCAATTTCCTCAGGGCTTTCTCCTTTGCTGCCAGTGCTTGGCATGGGGCATGCAAGGGATGTGGGTGACAGGCACATGGGTCTCCCTTTGGCATTTGTGCTCTGAGCTCTGCACAGGAACATATCCAAAGGTTGAAGACATGTGAGTGGTGTCAGACTAAGGGCTATATCTCCCAGAGCAACCAGTGCAGGAATGTTTTTCAGAGACTGTCTTTCTTTAGGACAGAGGGCCATGTGTTTCTAGGGCCTCTGGAAAGAGCAAAGTAATTTCTAATCTGAGGACTGTGCTGCTAACTTATTCTGTAAACTTAGAAAAATAGAACATATTTTCTGGGTATTTTCTTCCTGTCTGCATAATGGGGAAGACAAATACTTCCAACTTCATAAAATTGTCATAGATGGCTCTACTAGAGCATGCTGTGAGCACAGGATTTAGTGTCTGCTAAAAGCTAGCCCTTAAAGCATGATCTGAGATTTTTTTAAAATTATGGTTCATTTTATTTGTATCTTAACATGCAAATAATCATCTAAATGTTTGAATAAATTTGCATTCTTGTTACTAATTATTATTGTTTTAAACTTTAGAAAATCCTTTGAGTTTGAGGATGCCTCAAGCCTGCACTCCCTGTACCCTCCCTCCCCGACTGAAAATGGAACCGAGAGCCAGCATAAATTTGGATCCAAGAGCACTTTAGAAGAAAATGCCTATGAAGACATTGTAGGTAAGAAGCTGCTGCAGAACATGGGCTCACAGCAGGATGTTGAGTGGCTGTGGGCAGGCCACAGTATTGCTGAACACATGCCCTGTGCAGGAACGTTCAGTGCTGTCAGTAGAGAGAGATTAAATGGAGGCTAAATGGGTTTGATCCCTCAGTGCAAATGTAGCTCTTGGGCTGCATGCATGAAGTCTTGATTCTTTCAGACTTCACTGGGTAGGATTGGAAACAGACTGTTTGGTCAGCTTTTTGCCAATGCTTTTCAAGAACCAAATAGTTCTTTTTATCGAGGCCTTGGCTTGAAGCCTTGAGTGGTGTAAAAATGTAAAGAACAGGACTTGAGACAGTGTTTACAGAACTATCCAATAGCAAGATTAACCTCAGAGGCCTTGTGTGGTCAGCTGAGCTTCTCAGGACTCCGGTGTGTTCTGCCCCAAAGCAGTTGTTTGCAGCACAATTCCTGGTCTCCTCCAAGTCCCAGTTCCTGCTTAAAGAGGAATTAATTTCCTTTAGCTATACACCATCGGGAATGCACAACAAAAAACACTGTTTTCATTAAGCTTCATAAAAAAAACATGTTTCTTTTGGTCTTAGAAGGAAATGTATGGCCTATGCATACATTCTTTTAACATCTAAAAAAAGTTGTTATAATTACCGAAAATTGGGCAGCCCTTCAGAGCACAGATTTTCCACACAAGTGATGAATATCTGCATTGTTTTTAACTCTTTCAGTGTTAGATTATTACAACAGATACAAAGGGGAATTCATTTTACTTTGGACAATGAATCTTTACATAATGAAAGCTGGAGGGCTACCAAGACAGTTTGGGACCCTAGAGCACACATCCTCTGAAGAGACACTGACAAGTTAGTGTCATTTAGTCTGGCAAAAAGGCACTCTAATAGTGCTTACAAATGTTTAAGAGGCAAACAAAGACAATAGAACAAAAGTATTCTTGGTCATATCAGTTGATATAGCAAAGAACAGTGGCTACAAATTGGAGCCTGGGACTCTTTGTCAGGCCCAAATTCAGTCTCTGGCGTGTCAGCCTCAGTGAAAACAAGAATTTACTCTTTCCATTTACTTCCTCTATGCCATTAAAGAAAATGCTTTCAGAACTGAAGCTTTCAGCTCCTGCTCAGTGTCTGTTAGTTAAAATGAAAACTTTGTAGATACTGAATTGTCTTTTTCTGTGTAGACATCTTTACATGATCATCATCCCTTTCTATGACTGACCACCATGCTATTCACACTTGAAAATGTATTGTGTGTTAGTTACAGTGCTCTTCTTTGTTCAGGACTTGTCCATGTGCACCAGATTTTAGGTGGTAATGATTCTTTTCCTTGTCTGCTTTGTTAAATATCAAAATAAAATGCGCAGGACTGGTAAGAAGCTTTCTTCAAATGAGAAGAAATCTTGTGTTCAGTAAAACGAAATCATAATGGGTTTTTCCAACTCATGGGTACTATAAACCAGCTCCTTCAAGACTATAATTTGGGCATTTTGGCAGGGCAGTGGGAAGAGAATGCAAAATTTCAGATCTGTGGACAAACACAGAACTTCATTGTTTTGTACTGCTTTTTAACAACCTCCTTCCAAGCACTTCATTCAATACAGCAGTGCAGGGGGAGTACCAAATCAGTGTAATTCTTATAAACTGTCAGGCATGATTAAAGACAAGACAAAGTGGTTTGATCTCCAGCTTTAAAGAAACGATCGTAGCTTTGTCTATCACATCTGCAAAATTTATACCAGTGGTGCTAGACCCCAGTCTCCAAGTACCACTTTTGTGCTTATGCAAGCCAGGTGTCTGCAAGAGTGAGTTTATTTTACAGATCTACATCTGCTCCAAAGCTATAAAGGGCTCTGTCACTGTGCTTTGAGTATTCTTTGCAAACAGTTCTCCTAGAGTGCTGGTGGGTCTTTTTTCCTGTACCTTGTTGAATCTCCTTGCCTCCCTAAAACTTGTAGGCAGTTAAACATTGTTGCTGTAGTAATAAACTTAGTTGTGTCATGTCCCCCCCATCCCTTAGAATTAATATTTGTGATGTAAGGAAGTGTTAAAATACAAGAAAAGGAAGCTGTGAATCTTGAGCTATGCTCTAAGCAGTCTGGTGTGAGACAGAAACATGAAAAAATTGGGTTGGAAGGGACTGTGGAGTCACTTGGTTCAGTCTCTGCTCAAAGCAGGGTTAATTTCCACTTGAGATGATGTTGCTTAGGGCTTCATCTGGTTGAGTTTTCTAAATACCACGGGAGCATGGCTTCACTGCCTCCCTGTGCAGCCTTCTCCGCTGCTTAGCCTCCGTTGTAAAGAATGTTTTCTCGATGGCACAATGAACAAATTTTCTTTCCATCCAGTGTGAATTCTCCTTGTTGCTATTTGTGACTGTTGTCCTTCATCCTTTCACCTCCAGGAAGTGCCTGGTGCTGCCTTTTCCATTTGCCTTTCTGGGCAGTGGCAGGCAGCAGATGGCTTATCCCCCAGCCTTTCCCAGGCTAAACAGCTTCTAGGCATGCAAGTGCTAGGTCTGCAGTCATTGGTTTTTGGTTTTTTTTCCTTGAGTCATGCCCCACATGGCCTCTTCATGTGGGGCATATGCACACTAAGGCTTTGTCTTCCTCCTGCTGCCTTTGCATTGCTTCTTCTTTAATAAGCAGGGCAGCAATGAACTGCTGTGTGTAGTTTATCTTATTTTGAGAGCTCACTTTAAAAAAATAGTAAGTTTTAGGTATATTGAAATTGAAAAGGATTGTGCTTTGAAAGCCAGTGGCATAATGAACCAGACACTTTGTTCAATTTTGTAATATTTCTCATACAACATTTTTTGCAATATGTAGACTTTAATAGATGAAATACCTGCATGGTAAGTTCAGGAAAGGTTTTGGATTGGAACATAATGATCCATTCTGCATCAATCAAGCAGCCATTGTATAAAGGGGTGCACATTCCTAATATAAATCAGAGCTGTACTCCATGTGCAAGGAACCATGTGGACTTCATTCATCTTCTGTACTAGCACTCCCAGAAATGTGGCAGTCATAGTAAACTTAACATTGTTTTGCTTCTTGTGGTTTTGAATGAGCCTTTAATCAGACCAAAATTGATGTGGCTTTCTGAATCCGGTTGGGGAAACCACGCTTGGCTTTGTGTGAATTCAAGAAACTATCATAGTATTAAGAGATGGCTGAGATTGTTGCTGCTGCTGTGTTTGTGCACAACAGTATTTCCTGTCATATGGACCATAAGGTTCCAGTTTTCCAGTCTGCTCCCCTAAGTGCAGCTGAGATGTTGGAATATTGTTATTTAAGGTCTTGTGTCTCTGAAACATTGTTGACCTGACATCTAGGACAAAGCACTCATTACTATCATCAAAAAAAGTTGAATAAATAATGTGAAGGTCAAGGGCATAGTATTAAGTTTGAATTGAGAAAATCTAGTAAAACTAGGTGAAAGAAATAGCACTGCATTTAGAAATTAAATGTAGTGGACAAACCTCTGACAAGACAAGGCTTCTTACCCTGTAACTCCCCAGAGTGCTGTACGCAGCAGAACAGGTGGAGATTTCCTCTGAGAGGACATTGCAGATGTGCAGGAAACCCATTGCTCAACTGGGCTCTGTGTGTTGCCTCTTAGACTGAGAATGTTTAACAGAACATTGCATGACTCCATGTCTGCTTTGGCAGCTGGAGCTGAAGCAGTCTAGACAGAAAGGCAATGCCTCAAAAATGTTGCAGTGGAATCTCTAAATCCAGGATGAATTTCTAAATGGGATCTTGCTGGTGGGTTCCCATTGGGAGTGTCCTACAATTCACTGTCCCAGGGGCAGCTGGCCCTCTTGGGGAGGGTTTCTTATGCACCCTTCTGCTCTCTGGGCCTGTTCAGTGTCATGTTTAGAAGACTTTGAGCCCTTTCAGTAGCTAGACACTTTTACTGACAGATATTTTTTGTACCTTAAGATAACAACTTAATCACTGCTTCCTGTAGGGGCATATAATATAATTGAACCTTGTTACAGCTCTCACCAAAGGTGACTGAGAAGAGAAACAGTGGAGTCATACACAATTGCTTGGCTCTTTTTCTCTGTCAGTTTGAGATAATATTGCTTCAGTTTGGGATAACCAGCTTCTTGTTTACCTCTGCATTAAAACAGGACAAGTCACTCCCTTTATCCCTGCTGGTAAGGCAACTGATCTCTCCTAAATCAATGAGTTGGTTTGATTTCTTGTGTAAATTTGACACAGTGTATGTCATGTAACAAGATGGGATGATTTAGCTGTTCTACTGAACTGTCTGCTGTGTGTGATCAGAGCTGCAGCAATGATGACTGAGGTCAAGCTGGAAAATGTTCCAGCTTGACATTGCTTTCAAATTAGAACATTTGCAAAGTTCTTCCAGTAAATGTGGGAAAAGGTTAGAAAGAGAGCAAGCTGATCTTTCGAGTAAAATCCCATCCTCACACGCCACATTACTGCCTGTCACGCTTTTGTAGCACATTTTAGTCTGTCATATTATCATCCTGTGACAAATCAGGGAGAAACTGGAATTTCTGGGCTGCTGTGAAGCTGAAGCAAACTTGGAGAGATTGCAACTCTGCCAGCAGTGCTGTGCTAGCTGCTTCTCTGAAGACATTTTGGGTTTTCAGTCAGACACCAGCAGGTCTCTGGAGCTAGAATTGATGCAAAATGATGGTACAGGCAGTGATCACAGAATAATATATTCCTGTCTTATTCTGCACCCACAGTCTGACTGTGACAGCCTAAAGAGAATGTGAGATTTTGGAAAATGTAATAGTGTCAAGTTTAATAATAGACACTGTAGGGTAATGGCAGCCAGAGCACATTTAATCAAACAGTGTTCATATGGGCCTGTCAAAGAAAGGCCAAATACTTCAGCTGATCCTGTTGACAATCAGCCTGCTGCTTTGTTGTTACATGGATTTCAGTTATTTTTAATAATCATCTCGTGCCCTATTTAGATCTCAGTTTTTCTCTGTGGAGTCT